TCGGAAATCTATTAGCAAGACATCCCTCCCCGCACCAATTATCCCACCAGAAACTCACCTTAGTTCCCTCTCCTAGTTGTATCCTAAACCCCTCTACTAGCCACCCTTCTCTGTCTCTTGCTATTGTGTCGAGACAACACACATCCCTCCACCATAATGAGCCTATACACCTCTACCCTCTCTTACCCAATCCATCCAATTATCCCTCTGATTCCTGTATTTTCCTTTAATAAGTTCTCTCCACAAACCCTCATCATTTGATGCTAACCTTCCCCACCATTTACCCATCAATGCTAAATTAAATTTCCTCAATTCCTTCACCCCCAGCCTTCCTCTTTCTTTTTGTTCACATACCTTCTCCCAACTTACCCAATTAATTTTTTTCTTTTCACCCATCCCACCCCATAAAAAAGATCTACGAATTTATTAATAGCAAGAAGTATACCCTTCGGGATTAGGTAAACCGACATCAAGAAGACGGGCAAGCTAGACAAGATTGAATTTATGAGCGTGATACGACCACTGAAAGAGAGATGCCGACCTTTCCAGCTTTCTAACTTTCTTTTAAAGGATTCCACCATTGGTTGCCACATGGTAATCCTTCTATGGTTCCCTCCGATCGGGATCCCCAAGTATTTAAATGGAAATCCTCCCTCTTTGCAGTACAATCTAAAGGCCATTCTCGCCCTCCACTCCTCCCCAACTCCAATTCCCATTAGCTGGCTTTTCCCAAAGTTGATTTTTAGCCCTGAGACAAGCTCAAAAATCCTCATGATGCATTTAATTGCCTTTATGTTCTCTTCGGTTGCCTCTCCAAAGAATATCATATCATCTGCGAATTGTAAGTGAGAAACCGATACAGCTCCGTTTCCAACTATCACTCCTTTATACTGCTCTTTGACAACTGCAGATGACACAAGCCCGTTCAATCCTTCCGCCACAATCAGAAATAAAAATGGGGATAGTGGGTCCCCTTGTCGTAAGTCTTTGCTAACAGTGAATTGCTTTGTTGGGCTCCCATTGACAAGCACTGATACCATACTTGATCTTAGACACTCTTGTATCCACTTTCTCCAGGTTATGTTGAATCCCATTCTCATCAACATATAATCAACGAATTCCCAGCAGACTTTGTCATATGCTTTCTCGAAATCAACTTTGAACAGAAAGCTTTTCATCTTCTTCCTCTTTGCCTCGTCGATAATCTCATTTGCCACCACTGCTCCTTCTATTAATTGTCTACCTCCAATAAATGCCATCTGCTGCTCCCCGATAATCTTTGGCAGGACTTTGCGAAGCCGATTATCTAATAGCTTTGTGATGATCTTGTACATGACCCCAATTAACGATATGGGTCTATACTCTTCAATCTTTTGGGGATTGTCTACCTTTGGGATTAGGACAATGAAGGAGGCATTTGACCCACGGACAAGTTTGCCATTTCTATGAAACTCTTGTACAAAGCCCACAACATCTGCTTTTATGTCTTCTCACATGGCCTTGACAAATCTGAAATTAAATCCATCTGGACCCGGAGATTTCGAAGAATCACAGTCCCAAACAGCCTCCTTAATTTCATCTTCAGAGAATTCAGCCATAAGAAGTTCACTATCTGTACTAGATATTTGTTTAAAATCAATGCCCTCCAATTTCGGTCTTTGCCATTGCTCCCCTGTAAACAACTCTTCAAAATACTTGGCCACCTCCTCTTTAATTTCTGCCACCACAGTGTGTTGTTTGTCATTGATCTGTATGCTATTTATTTCGTTTCTCCTCCATCTTCCCTTCACACATCTGTGAAAAAACTTTGTGTTTGCATCCCCTTCTTTTAGCCACGCCATTCTTGACTTTTGTTGCCACATGCTGTCTTTAATTTTGAGATGCTTCCATAACTCAATAAAGCATTTTCTCCTCTTTTCAATGTCAATTGTAGACAATTGGTCTTTCTCGCCTTTTTCATCTAGTAATGCAATCTCCTTCTCAGCCTCATTAATTTTACTATCCACTTTTGTTGTAGAATTGTCATTCCACTCCTTTAAGGCATTCTTGGTTCTCTTCAATTTCTCCTTGAACCTATAGCCTTTCCAACCTTTTTCGTCGCTGGAATTCCATGCTTTTTTAATGACCTCTATGCATCCCGGTTGTTCTAACCATGCATCAAAAAATTTGAAGGGTTTAGGGCCCTAATCAACCACCTCATTCTTTAAAATGATGGGGTAGTGATTTGACACTGTTCTTCTCAACCCCCATTGCTTCACATCACTCCAATTCAAAATCCAGTCTTCCGACAGCAAGAATCTATCTATCCTACTCATTTGTTGACCATTGGCATTATACCAGGTATACTTTCTGCCTATTAATGGTAAGTCTACCAATCCAGCTTCACAAATAAAGCAATCAAAGTCCCTCATTTCCCTGGAAATCCCTTTACACCCTGCCTTTTCTTTTGTGTTCCTCACTACATTGAAATCACCCATCAAGCACCAATTGCCCCTGCAGGTAGTGATCATCATCTGTAATTCTTCCCATAAGGCTCTTTTATCCGTCAAAAGGCAAGAAGAATATATGTTCAAAATATACACTGGTGTTTCTTCCTCACCCCATAACCCATACACACCAATGTAATTTCTCCCTTCCAGGACATTCTTTTTTTTAACACTTTTGAGCTCCATATACACAGTAATCCTCCGGACAGCCCCTCTAATGGTTTCATGATCCAATCGTACTCATCAGTCCCCCATATTTTCCTACATACTTTTCTATCTACTACCTCCATCTTAGTTTCTTGCAAAGCTAAAAATTGAATCCTCTCCTTCCTCACAATATCCCTAATCTGTCTTTTTTTCCCACCCCCTCCTAGCCCTTTTATATTAAATGACATCAGAAACATGAGAGTTCTTACTTACCCTCTTTTCATCTTCGGCATTCTTCATCACCATTTTTACTTTTGCTCGTCTGTCTTTGTCTTCCATCTCCTCTATTTTCTGTATTACCTCCTCTTCATTCTCCACTACCACACCAAACTACTTGGCGAAATCCCATATTTCCTGAGCTATATGCTGTCGCATCTGCCCCTTCCATATCCTATTGCAATTTTGTATTCCACTGTCACCCACTGACCCACCGACGGCTTCCTCATTAGAACAGAGTGTGTCTTTTGATGCTGTCTTTCCTCCTGTTTTTTGCTTTCTCTATTTTCCTCGTCCCTTTCTTCTTTGTGCGTCATCACCTATTGCTCTTGTTGATAAATACACCGCCTTACAAGATCTGATTCTCCTCTTTTTCTTCTTCGGGATCCCCTCATTCTTCCTACCCATCCATTCTTTTAACCTACCCTCTTCACTTTCAAACCCTTTCCAGAATGGGTCTTCCCCTTCTCTCTCGTCATTTTCGCTTGCACTCCCTTTGTTTCTATAATCTTCCTCATTTGTATCTGATTTTGTGTTCCCCGATCTGCTTACTTGGGCCAAGGCCATATTTGTGGACTCCTCCATTGTTGGGCTGATGTCCGAATTTGCTTTGGGCTTTCTACTGGGCTTTTCTTTGGTCTGTTCTCTATAGCCCAATTGCTTCCTACTTTCTTCCTCAAAACCAGCTGACTTATGGCATTCCCCATGCCTCTGCATCTGCAGCGTTCCTACTACCTCTTCTCTACTGTAATACCCCAAAATTTTGTGATATTTAGCATTAAGTTAGGGACTTGATTGTGAGAAAAGATTGTTTTGGGGTCTAATGTGAATAATTTAAAAAGTTGAGGGACTTAAAGAGGGAAAGATTTTAGGATAAGGATCAGCTTCCTTCTTTTTCGTTTTTCTTTCTTTCTTTTCTTCCTCCTCAGCCCGATTTTGCTCTTCTTCCCGCTG